TATATATATATATAAAAGAAAGTAAATTTCAGTAAAAAAAAGGAATTATTTTTATCAACAAACAGTGATTTACTTTCAATTATGTGAGTAATGTGACAAGCCGAAATCTCCATCTCCATTCTCCATCTCCGATCTCCCATCTATGGATCCATGGATGGCACAGTGATCTAGTGTGGAAGCAGGAGCAGAGTAGTTAATCAAGAAGCAGAAATGGGAAAGATCGTGAGAATGCCCTGTGCTCGGGTGCAGGGAGAAACCAAGTTAGGAAGTACAGCAATCAAGCCGACGACTATCTTCTCGGAAGCCATGGGAGGCTTCTTCATGAAGTGGACCTACTCCACCGACCTCAAAGGATATCGCAAGGTCATGATCGGCGGCGTTCAGCTTGACTGTGAGGGTTGCCCTAAAAAGGTTCGCCTCGCAATCGGCAGAACTGATGGTTTGTATTCTCGAACCTACTCTCTCCTACCTCCATCAGCCCATCAGTGTTTGATCTGTGAATGGAATGGTGTTTTAGGTGTCATGCAAGTGAGGACGGATATGGAGAACGAGATCGTGTATGTGATGGGGAAGAACATGAACATGGCGGAGTTGAAGAAGAACGTGAGGATTGAGTCGAATTCGGCGGAGATACTCGACATACTTCCTTGGAAGATCAAGTACTAATATGTTGTGTTGGATTGGTCGCCCTCATCCTGTTTGTCGATTTGCTCCAAAATCATTGTCAAAACTTTATGATGTATTCTTGTTTGATTTTTAGAAGGACTTGTTCTGTTCAAAACTTTTCGGTGCGGATCTGTAAAGTAATAAGATATTTGCGTGTTCTTGTGAATTGGTTCGTCCACTTAGAATATCCCTCTCTTTCCCCATTTTTGTTGTGTCTGCTCAGAGCAGAGAGTAGACATTTTCGTCACAAATCCATCATCTTCGTTTGAGGAGGTTTTACTGCGCTGCTGTCCTCGGATGGGGTAAGATTAATTTTTTAATTATTTAACTTTCAAGTTTATTCCAATTTTTTTTATTTGTGCACTGTGAAAGGCTAAACTCGAATCTCTAGCTTAGTAAATGAAAGGATTTTTTTTATTATTATTTAAGTTTTAATAAAATTATCACCCTTGGCTGACAAGATTTCACCTTTTGTTTTGCTGATTTTTTGATTTGATGAATTTTAGATTTATTGATTTTACATTGAAGTTTATAAATTTTGTTTTCCATGACTATTGTCCATTCCAATAGATGGTAAGCAGATATAATTATGATTTTATAGGATTGCATTTGCTTGTTCCCATTGGCGCAATTCTACTTACTGGTTATGTTATTTTTGTATTAATGTAATTCTTGTTAAGTAGATATTTGATGCAGTTTCCTTTTGTTTCATCCTACTTTTATTTCATGTTTGGCATCATGTGATATGATATATTTGCCATTATCTTATTTTCTTTTGATGCAGTCTTAAGACATTTTATATCCTTATCTATAACTTATATTTCATAATGTCATGACTGTTTACTAGAATAATATGATGGTCAAGGTTTAAATTGTGCCATTGTGTATTGAGACATTTTTTGTCTGAGCGGCAAGGAATTTTAGGTGCAAGCCTCAAAATCAATAACTTATGGTATGTAGTAAAAAGTGAAATATTATTGTCTTGACATATTAATTCATTATAAAGAATTATTAGTATCTTAACATGGTAAAAAGTAGTAAATTGTGTAAGTTAAGAAGTGGCATGTTAACATCCAAATATTAAATAATAAAAGAAAAAGGTTTATACAAATTTCAGAGTAAGAAATGATAACATGCAATCGAAAATAATTTCAATATAATCAGTCTCTCTTTTCTCATATTATGCTCCATCAAAGTAAGAACATATCAAGCTACCAAGAATAGAACTCCTAAATTCAAAAGTCATCAACAATCTCATCACTCAATATATCTATTAGAATTATCGGCATCATAGTTTGCTTTTTTCTCTGCTTCATCCTTTTGTCTGTACTCTCTCATTTCAATCATTTTTGTCTTATTTAATTAACAATAATTAATATCATTCATTAAATTTCTAAATGATTATTGTGTTAATAGTTATAATTTCAATTACATTCTTAATTGTGTATTTTGGGGAGGCTATCTAAGGGTTATTTTGATTATATTTATTAAGAAAAAACCGTACATCTAATTGCGTACATCTCACCCCAAGTGAGGTGAGGTGTGCCTCACATTATGTGAGACGTAAGCCTCTTAGTAATTTTTTTAAAAAAGCACTGAGGAGTGCCTCAAGACTTGGCTCATATGTGCAATTTCAAACCATGGTTGCATTATAATCAACAGTTCTTTCTCACTTGAATATTATTAGCTTCTATAGCACCTCATCTCTCTTCATTTTCGTTGCCCACTCCTCTTCACTTATCCTCATTTCAAGCAATATCCCTCCCATTTGATTATGAAGAACAAAAGAAAAGGTTGTCGGAAATCTTTATTATGTGGTATACGAGGAAATATTGAATCCTTGGTTATGATGATTTAAGTTTCCTAAGGGTTCCAAGAAGGTTCTTACTTGGGAAACATCTCAAAATTGCATCTTTCATGTTCCTCCTCTTCTTTATCTTTTTTATTTCTTACCACCACCACCTCACAAGCCACCAGCACTTTCCTAGAAGATGCTATGGAGGCTATAAGCATCAAGGGCTACAAGAAGGTAATAAGCATCAAGGTGGTTACATCATAAAGCACCACCTATCTTTTAAGTGGTTTGGCAAGATTGCCTCATCTTACAAGGAGGTATTGACCCCCTTATTCTGCAAGGGGCTAATGAGCTCTCCCACTTTATCCCTTTTATTTTATTAAATTTAACTAATTGGATGATTAATCCCATTAGGTGTCAACAATCTAATTGCTTGTAGTTTGAACTATTTAAATTATTTTTTGTAGAGCTATAACAATAGCATTTCTTATGTGCTTCGCATGCACATTTGATAGCATTCATTCCTTTGACCTCTTTTAATTGCTCCTTTTCTCTTTCTTTTGGTTGTGGCCAAATTATTATCTTGTCAATTTCTTTCTCCAATCAGGGGATCAAGGTGCGACCAAGGTAAACTATGAGCATGAGAATATCTACTCTAATAATATATCTTCCTCTCATCATAGAAGAAGATTCAATTCAATATTTGAATAAAACCCTTACGTCCAAATCCAATCCTCTTTTCTGGAAATGATGAATTATCCATCAAATAATTTATTTTACTGCCTAACCCCTATGTATTGCACACCAGCTGATTTCACTAATCTCATATTATTTCTCTTCTATAACAATACGCACACCAGCTGATTTCATTTGACCCCTCACTAATCTCATATTATTTCTCTTCTATAACAATAAAAATTTCTCTTTCTATCATCTTTAAATTCTCTTTTATATGTGTGCTACTTCAAAAACATGTTGGCTGCGCAATTGTAACTCTAGTTATTGTAAACCATGCTCCACCACAATCCCATTAGTGATATAAATCTTATGATTTCACTTAGCTCAACTTCTCTTTTTGTCATAAGCATCCCCTACCTTTCTTTCTTCTTCTTTTTTTTTTGTTTTATTTTTTTTTTTCTACCTTTCTTTCTTCTTTTTATTTTTTTTTTATTTTTTTTTATTTTTTTTTTTTTTTTGGTTTATTTTTTTTTTTTTTTTTTTTTAAATGCATCCCTTTCCACCCCATCTTTCTTTTCTGAAGACCTCTTATGTCATTTCGAGGCAAGAAAAAAAGGAAAAAAATGAAAAGCATATTACAAATTATTATTATTTGGTGTCAAAGAAACAATTAAATTATTAAATTTGATGATTCTAGTCCCTTAAATAAATCATATTGAAAATTTAAATTCTTTGGACTCATGATTTTTATCGTATAAAATATAAAAAATGTGCATTTTTTTAAGCATTATTATTATTATTATTATTATTATTATTAAGACTCATGATTTTTATCGTAGAAAATGTAAAAAATGTGCATCTTTTTAAGTATTATTATTATTATTATTATTATTATTATTATTATTATTATTATAGGGCTTGTTTAGGATCAATTTTATTTTTTATTTTTGTTTTTTTAACATGTTTTTAGAGTATTTTTTACAACTTTTTATTTTTTTATTTCTAAAAATAAATAATTATATTTTTTAAAATACTCAAAATACCTTGTAGGTGTTTTGAATGTTTTCAAAAACAATCATACATTAATCAAAAATAACTAACATGTTTTATTTCAAATCAAAACATAAAAAAAACAAAGTAAAACAAAAAACAAAAGTGATCCCAAACGGCCGCTCAATATTTTCATGGATCCATTATCTTCCCTCTTAAGTTATCATCATTTCCCCAAAAACAATAGCATTTAAGTAATGTTAGGATTTCTTTAATGTCATGAGTGTAGTTACCATAAAATGATTTAGGGTTTTTTTTTTTTCATTTTATCTTTTATTTGTTTGATCCATCTAAGTTAGGTGATGAATTATGGTTGGCCTTTTTGATATGATTTATTAGAGAGTGACAAGTTTTATTATTATTATTTTTTCAGTCTCATGTTGTTTTTAATTTAATGCTTTATATTATGTAATTGAAAATTTTAGTCACAATGTTATTTTCTTTTGATGTTTTAATATCAAGGATATCATCAAGAGAGCAATTTATCTTGCAAGTAGACAACCAAGGACCCTTCACCCTTCAAATGACCTACCAAGACCACCTCATTCTACAACTGGCACATCACCTCCCTTTCTTTAACCCCTTTAATTATATGTGTTAGGTTAAATCAGGTGTTTACTAACTTTATATTTCATTGTTTGAACAAATTAAAGTTCATTCATGTGGTCTTAATCTCCTTGCCACTTTTAACCAGTTGTCTTCTCTCGAGATTCTGGTCAAAGTTCTATTTCCTCCTTTTTATAGTCTAAGCATGTCTTATTATGAGATGCAAGGTGAGTTTATGGTGAAGGCAGGTATGACCAAGTGAAGATCTGGTCTAGCAAAAAATCTCTTCCTCATCAAAGGAAAGTGATTTCAATCAAAGCTTTAAATCCAAGTCTCATTCATTAGTGTTAACCATAGTTTTATGAGCAATGATAAATCCACTTAGTGCATTCCAAGTTCCATTAAAAGGAGATGAAGCCCGTCTGCTCTTCCATCAAAAGATTAAAAGAGATACACAGTACACAGCCATATCATCATCCTCATCCTCATTCCCATCCTCGTCACCTCGCCACAGCCCACGCAACCCCCCCACCCAACATCTCCCCTCTTTCCTTCCTTCACTCATTAGACCCAGCTATTCTTCTTTTCATTCACAGGCCTGCCCATTTTCATCTCTTTCACCCTTTTTTTTCCCCTCTTTAACACCCCCCTTTCTCTCTGTCCTTAACATCAAGACAAGGACAAGAACACAAGAGAAGTTTGCTGTGGGAATTTATTATTCAGGATTAGTACACCTAATATATAATTCTTATAGAAAATGATGAAAGATTTATAGAAAATCCCAGTCCTAGTAAAAGATGTTTCTTTCTCTATCTTCGACTTTCTTTTGCTTTCCTACCTTCACAATGATGCTAACTCAAGTTTCATTGACACACATGGCATCATTTGGAAAGTTACATCGGAAAAAACACAACATACAAAGCTAGATGAAGGTTATAAGAAGGATACTAGAATCTTGGTAGCTATATCATCAAGGAGGCTAGCTCATCCTACAAGTGGACATCCAAGGTCATCTCATATTATGAGTGGTATTACAGCCGCTTTATTTCACAAGTTTTCTATCGACTCTCCTTGTTTTTCCTTTTTGTCTAGCCAAGATTAAATGATTGGATGAGTCA